AAAATTCAGCTCACATCGGATTATGTACCCAATCTCATCAAAGCTCTTATCTCTCTCCTCCACCCTTCATTGCCTCATCTGCAACCAACCATCCATCCCTTGCCACGTGGACGTGACCATATCTAGACTCCTGGAATAACCACCAAGCTTTTCTTATGTCATCACAACAAATCAATCTCAAAGCCAAAAATATCATCCACGCTGAAAATTAGGAGATCAAATAAAATATTATTAAAGAGTATATACCGACGCTAATTTAATAAAGAAACCAAACGGAGCGACGATTACGCGAACTGCCCACAGGTCCCCTATATAACCTCCTCATTCTTTGTCCAAACCTATGTCCTTCACCAAACAAACAGCGTATTTAAAACTCACTAAACAAGCACACAATAAAATTCCTCAGTATCTCCTATACAAAAATAAAAAAAGCACAAAAAATGCTAAAAAGATGAAATCTAAATACTCATCTTGAAACCAACAAAAAGGCTTGAAAACAAACCAAACACCCCCCCCCCCCACCCCCCCCCCCCCCCCTCTCTCTCTCTCTCGCAGCTCCCTCTACTTCTCCTTCTCAACAACTGAAGGAAAGAAGAGAACATCAAACTCAGCAAATGGCTGTGTCTACAATATACAGCACCCCTTCTCTCAACTCCACAACCTCAATCACCACCCAGTCAAAAACCCACCTAGGATTCAGCACTCAGAACCAATTCATCTTCTACAAAAAGACCAGAAGAGGAGAGAGAAGAAGCAACTACTCCTTCTCGTGCTCTGCATCAGCTGAACAGCAAACACTAGTTATAGGCTTAGCTGCAGACTCAGGATGTGGGAAGAGCACATTCATGAGGAGACTTACCAGTGTTTTCGGCGGGGGAAAGGAGGAAACCCTGATTCAAACACTCTCATCAGTGATACAACCACTGTCATATGCCTCGATGACTACCACTCATTGGATAGAACTGGAAGAAAGGAGAAGGGAGTCACTGCTTTGGACCCGAGAGCTAACGATTTCGATCTGATGTATGAGCAGGTGAAGGCACTTAAAGATGGCGTGGCTGTTGAGAAGCCTATTTATAACCACGTCAGCGGGCTTCTTGATCCTCCTGAGCTCATTAAGCCACCCAAGATTCTTGTCATTGAAGGACTTCATCCCATGTGAGCATCTTACCATTTGGTTTTTAAACTTTCGTGATTTTTTTTTAAGAAAAATAAAATCTGAACATTATTTAGCTCAAAATGATACCATTAAACTTGAAGCTGCTGATGTTAGTTCTGATGGTTTTGGAAAATTGGAGAAGGGTAAGTGCGATGAGTGGTTTAGGGGTTAATTTACTTGTATATTTGTCGCCGAAATGGAAGTTCATGGTTTTTTCTTCAACATACAAATTTAGTGGTATTTTTCTGCAAAACGGGGAAGTTCATGATAGTTTCTTAAGAATTATCAATAAGATGTATGTTAGCGATGAGTTCGATGATAAAATTAATGAAAACTTTTGGGATGAAATCTATGACATGCACCTTATCTTTTGACAATAACAAATAAGCATTATGTCATCTCTATTGGGTAAGCCTTTAGTTTGGGAGCATTTTACTTCGTGGTGCAATACCGTGACTAAAATGACAAATTAAAATGGTATCATCCTGGTTGCGCTTTGCGTATGTCTAATATGCACAACAATTATATAGATAACGTTATTTGTCAGAACATTTATCATCACTGTAATTGTCACATTAGAGTTCTATATGTTTTTCGACAATTACAGTGAGCAATTTTTCTTGCAGATAATGAACATGTTGGGCTTGTATTTACAAAATCAAAATGGAAAAATAATTGTTTTACGGATCTATTCTTTAAAAGAATTATTTTTCCTATGGTTGTTTATTGTCGTGGTAATAGTTATACATGTCTGAACTTTGCAAAATTGACACCGCTTCTTCCTACTCTTCAGGTTTGATTCTCGTGTAAGGGATCTTTTGGACTTCAGTATTTACTTGGACATTAGTAACGAGGTCAAATTTGCATGGAAAATTCAGGTCATTAACTAAAAAACATCTAATTACTCACATGTCATCAATTCTTTTATTTTCTTCATTCTAAACTCTCTCTTTGAGTTTACAGAGAGACATGGCAGAACGTGGGCACAGTCTAGAGAGCATCAAAGCTAGCATTGAAGCTAGAAAACCTGATTTTGATGCTTACATCGGTACTTTTCTTGTGAAAATCCACATTACTATTTTTGACATACATTTTCTTTTGTGTTCATGATCAGTAAAGCAATGTTCTTGTATTTTGCCAGACCCACAAAAGCAATATGCAGATGCAGTGATCGAGGTTTTACCAACGCAATTGATTCCGGACGACAATGAAGGCAAAGTGTTGAGGGTTAAATTGATAATGAAAGAAGGGGTTAAGTACTTTAGCCCGGTTTACCTCTTTGATGAAGGCTCAACAATCTCTTGGATACCATGTGGAAGGAAACTAACTTGCTCCTACCCTGGGATCAAATTTGCCTATGGTCCAGACTCTTACTACTCCAACGAGGTGAATTACTAAAAGTTTGGTTAACAAATTTGAGATGAATAAGATCGATGAATTATGAAACTTTTCGCTGAGCATATAGATAGTAAATCTTGCACATTATTATAAATGGTTAGTTCTTAAACCGATTTTGTTCGGTTGGTTTGAATCAGGTTTCAGTGTTGGAGATGGACGGGCAATTTGACAGATTAGATGAGCTCATATATGTGGAAAGCCATCTAAGCAACATATCGACCAAGTTCTATGGCGAGGTATGTTGAATGTTTCGTGCAAAAAAAAAAAAAAAAAAAAATTCAAGACCTGCATTAGTTTCTAAATTGTATTGTATATGTTCTTTAAGAAAAAAAGGGTAAATTACACTAAATCCCCAATAAGTTTGGGCCTTTGCACTTAACCCCCAGTAAGTTTTGTCAGAGAACCCCAAAAATTTTACACCGCTAAGTTTAACCCTCATAGCAAGATAAAATGACAAAATACCCGCTTTCTTTTCTAATGGTTTTAGTAATGATATCTTGCATATACACCCTATACACCTCTCTCTCCTTCAGTTTCAAAAAATGCAACCTTTTGCTAACATTTCATTTCTCTTTTGCTGTAACAGGTAACACAACAGATGTTGAAGCATGCTGACTTCCCTGGGAGCAACAATGGTACAGGTCTTTTCCAGACAATCGTTGGTTTGAAGATTAGAGATTTATACGAGCAAATAGTTGCGGAGAGGGCAGCTTCTACCGTTGAAGCTGCCAAAGTTTAAGACTCCACGGGTATAGAGTTACTTGAATTTATCCCTTTTTTGCCTCATTGCTATTTGTATATTCGTGAAGAATTAAGGGAAAAGTGATGTAGCAAACTCCCATCATATTGGAGGCAATGGGAGATGTAAATCCCCTCCCTTTAAGTGTTATTATTATTTTGCACATAATGCTCGCTATTAATTTACATTTCTGTACACATTGGACAGATATCACATGCATTTGTCAATATAAGAAATGGGTTTTCCTCCATCTTCACTATTGTGATCGTATTCACATAAACCTCTCAATATAAGAAATGTCTTTGATCTAATCATGTAAGGAATATTGATCTTATGTTGTTTCTGAACATCCTTCAGAGGTTCCTGCCAAAAAAGTATTATCATTTATAGTCTTCAAATTTGATGATAAAGCAAATTCTAAGGGTACTTCAGAAGTTTATATATTCAAAATGAGTTCATTATCTAGTGGAAAAAACAAATAGAGAGTAAATTTGCAAAACAATTGTCATGATAAGAAAATAAATGGAGCTAGATACCTCTCGACCACAACCCTAATAGGCTGCTAATTGAAAACCATTAATTTTGAGACCAATTTATCAGTCTACGATAGCTTCACAATAGACGTGCAGTAATCGTAGCTGAAATCCCTATCTTTGGATTGTAAATCAACTGACAGAGAACAATCAGACAAATAACCAAAAATATTTCGGATTATGATTCTTCAAATTCTCAATGATTATCCAAGATGACAACAGGTGAAATTTCTTTATACAAATGAACCATTATAAATAAGATACTCAAAGAATAAATACGTATAAACTGAAACAGATAAATATGGGTAGTGTTTGAAGTCCTAACTTCTCTATCCAACATTCTGATCTTGAGCCGCATTAAATTCTTGCATCAGATTAAAGGTTTGATCCTTCTTTTGCCATCGGCAAGTCACTCCTCACTCTAGAACTTACAGAAGATCTCCGTTCTTTCCATGTTCTTCCATCCTGTAACCATCTCCAATGATTAATAATTATGACCAAGTAAGAGAACTTGAAGGAGTTAAAACAAATAGTCTGACAGAAGAATTTCTTTCACATCGAAAAGCAAATGTATACATATTAATATGTTTTTGGGGCATTGCATCAATACTACGCTATCATTGTGTATTTATAACCCTTAAATTTATACCAAATGCTCGTAGTGCACGTGCCAAGAGTCGAGTGATTATAGAAGCAAAACAAATACGAAAGTGTTAGTGAAGAGATTATCACTTACATTTAGAATTGTCGACGGTTCTTGTTCTGGGCAGTTAACTGGTTGATCATAATCAACAACCTCGATTGGGCGCTCAACAGGCTTAAACTCAGCTGCTGTCGCAATTCCACAGGTTGTAGAGGCTGGAGCTGGACTTAAAACCTCCACATTCTGTGCCAACGTTTGCCTTGCGTCCTAATACACGAGCTTGTCAACTCATTTAATGCTCAATTTGATGCAAACTCAAGCCACATATATAAATAAAAATTACAAGGAATAAGGAAAAGAAAAAAGAGGAGTATGAATGATAGGTGTAAGCAAAGTCTTGGGACAATCTGCGAATGTTAGATAAGCCCGAAACATTTTCTTCTAAGCATATGAACAACAATATTTGATGAGACATGGAAAGTATTTCAAGCATAGCTCAGTCTACATAGATTTTTTATAAAAACACGTTAGCTTCAATGAAAGAAGAATCATACATAGATGACAATGTAAGCAAATAATTGCAGAAGCAAGCTGAAACTGAAAGCGCAGCCAGATTTTTACCTTGAGAATCTAATATTAATATATTTAACCAAGAAGTTACATTATGCGGAGTAATTAAAAGATGGTTGTGTTGTGCGTAGCGGAACTCGAAAACCAAAAAAATCACACACACAAGAACAAGATAGGTCACAACCAATACAACCAAAACACCAATCACAGCAAGACACACGAATTTACGTGGTTCGGCAAGTTGCCTACATCCACGGGGCAAGGAGGAGGGAGTTTATACTATTAGAAATCAAGAGAATACAAATAGGGTTACAAATCTTACCAAAAACCCCCAAAATAAGCTCTAGATCTCTCTCAAAGCCTCCCACAATGGATGCAACAAAACCCTCTTTTGGCAGCTCAAAACCCTCACATAACCCTAAAATTCGTGTTTAGGGTTATACACAAACTCACAACGAAAACGGGTCTGGAAAACTAAATATGGCCCAAACCCCCGCATCGCGGTCGACCGCAGAGCACATATCGCAGTCGATCGCAAAAACTCCAGAGAGTTTCCCAACTTCTAGGTTCGGGCATGGTCGACCGCAGAACCATGTGCGGTCGACCGCCAAAAATTCAGAGCCATACTACAGTGATGTGCACGTTACGGTCGACCACAGAGCATGTACGGTTGACCGTGAAACTGCCTGCTTGTTCCCTCATGGATGTTGACGTCATTTCTACAATTCTCTACCTCGGCGAATGTTTCTACCAAAACTGAACCGACACCAAAACATCCAAATGTCTCACTTGTTGCGTTCAGTATGCCATGGAATTAATCCATGACAACGAACTCAATCCACAATAAGTCGGGAACCCAAAATGGAGCGCAAACAATCTCCCCCCATCAAAAGCAACTAATCCAACCCGGCTGGATCTAAAAGATTACCTACGTATCCCCTTGCCCAAGGAATCAAGCCTCACATAGTTCACCCAAATGGCCGCCAACGGCCTCAACATCGAAGAATGTTCAATAGATTCAAACAATGACCAAACTTGACACCTGAAACAACTTTGATCAACATATCAGCAGGGTTGTCCTTAGTGTGAACCTTCTCCAACGTGACCTTTCCATCATCCAATACGTCACGTACAAAGTAAAATCTGACATCAATGTGTTTCGTGTGTGCATGATAAACTTAGTTCTTTACCAATAGATAGCTTGTGTCAGCTATCACAAAATATCTGAATGGTCTCCTGTGCAATCCTCAAGTCCTCCAATAGTCCATGCAACCACAAAGCCTCATTTACAGTTTCAGTCACCGTCATATACTCTGCCTCTGTAGTACAGAGAGTCATTGTAGACTGAAGTGTGCATCTCCAACACACCGGTATACCAGCCAATGTAAATACATAATCTGTAGTGGATCGACGCTTGTCAAGATCTCCAGCATAGTCAGAATCCACATAGCTAATATAATCATGCCCTATGTTCTCATTCTTTTGAAAAACTAAACCAATATCTATGATACGTTTAACATACCGTAGAATCCACTTCACGGCCTCCCAATGATCCTTCTCGGGGTCGTGCATGTGCCTAGATACCATGCTCACGATCTGTGACAAATCTGGCTTAGTACACATCATCACGTACATCAAGCTACCCACTATACTGACGTATGAAACTTTGGACATATAGTCTCGATGCTCAACTAAAACTTGTGACATCAAGACTGAAAGCTTGAATTGGGGAGCTAATGGAGTACTCACCATCTTGGCATTGCCCTCAAAACTGAATTTCTTCAGCATCTTCTGCAAGTAACTCCTCTGTGTAAGCTTCAATCTCACTTTTACCCTGTCTCGCTCAATCTCCATACCCAATATCTTCTTAGCCTGTCCAAGATCCTTCATCTCAAACTCAAATGATAGCTTTTTTTTCAATTTTCCTATAGCTAAAGTATTGCTGGAAACAATGAGCATATCGTTAATATATAATAACAAATAAATATGTTCATCATCCTGTAGCTTGTGCATATAAACACACGGGTCATAAGGGCTCCTCGTGTACCATTAGCCAATCATAAAGCTATCAAATCTCTTGTACCACTGTCGGGTGATTGTTTCAATCCATAAAGAGATTTTTTCAATTTACATACCAAATATTCCTTTCCTGTAACTTTGAACCCTATGGGTTGTGTCATGTAGATCTCCTCATCTAAATCTCCGTGTAGAAAGGTCGTCTTCACGTCCATTTGGGCCCAATATAAATCCAGTTGTGCCACTAATGCCAATAAAATCTGAATTGACGAGTGCTTCACAACGGGTAAAAATACCTCGTTGTAATCAACGTCCTCAAACTGTGCATACCCCTTAGCAACCAATCTGACTTTGAACCGAATATCCCTAATAGAAGATCCCTCCTTCTTCGCATATATCCACTTACAACCAATAGCTTTCTTACCCTTAGGTAGCTTTGCAAGTTTCTAAGTATCGTTCTTCTGAAGAGATCGCATCTCCTCCTCCATAGCATTCTATCACCTAATCGAATTAGAGCTAGATTCTGCCTCCCTGAATGTGAAAGGAACCAAATCGTCAACGACCTCCACTGATAAAACATATGCAATCATGATATCATCATATCTAGCTGACCGACGAATCACCCTCCTAGGTCTGTTTGCTGCAATAGACTCTTAAACATGACTCTGCTCCTGAGTCTCACCATCCACTGTATCCTCTAAATGCCCGACTATTATCTCATCTCCTCCCAGTGCCACCTTTGTAGGAGCCTTAATGGATACAGTGCTATCTGGAGTGGGTGAAGTCACATCATCCTCTACCTGCTGTGATATCTCTCCTGTCTGAGCTTCCTCCACCTGCTAAGGAACTTAATGTTTTATCATGTACTCCTCATCGAATGTGACATATCTGCTAATGATTATTTTCTTGTCCTATGGATCCCATAACTTAAAGCATTTAACTCCATCTCTAAATCTCATAAAGACTGCTTTCCTTGCCCTCGGATTCAATTTACCATCACTAACATGGTAATAAGCAAGACACTCAAATATTCGAAGTGACTCATAGTCACTAGCTACCAAACCAGACCAACGCTCCAAAGGAGTCTTTTCCTGTATCGTAGTGTACGACAACCTATTAACGAGATGACTTACATAAACCAACGTCTTGGCCCAAAAGGATCTAGGCAATCCACTCTGCGTCATCATACATCGCACCTTCTCCAGCAAGGTACGGTTCAATCTTTCAGTCACCCCGTTCTGTTACGGTGTCTCTCGAACTGTGAAATGTCTTCTAATGTCGTGATCTCGGTAAAACTACAGAAATGAATCACTCTTATACTCTCCATCATTGTCTGAACGAAGAGTCTTCACCTTTCTACCTGTCTGTAGCTTCACTTTCTTCTTCCACTCCACAAATATATCCAGGACATCATGTTTATGCTTCACAGGATATACACAATTTCTTCTGGAATAGTCATCAATGAAAGTGACAAAATAATCGGTCTCACCAAGTGATGTGTGTTTGAAAAGGCCCCAAACATCTGTATGAATGTAATTGAATATACCTTGGGTGTTGTGAATAACGGTGCCGAACTTCACACTAGTCTTCTTCCCAAGTACACAATGGTCACACAGCTCCATTTTGCAGGTCTTCGCATCTTTTAATAGCCCATGTTTTGTCAATGACTGTAGGGACTTATCACATGTGTGTCCAAATCTTATGTGTCATAAGGTGATAGTGTCCTCTTCTGTAGTGATAGAAGCTGTCAGACCCCCTGTAACTGTCTTGTCATTCAAGTAGTATAGGTTGTTTTCCCTGACACCTCGCATCATCACCATAGAACCCTTAAAGACCTTCACAGTAGCATCTTCTAAGATCACGCGATAACCTGCTACCTCCAAAGTCCCAAAAGAAATAATATTCTTCGTCAACTGCGGCACGAACCTCACTTTCTTTAATTCCCTAGTCACCTCATCATGCATCCTGATCCAAACAGTACCAATTCCACCAATAGGACATATGTGATCATTCCTCATGAGCACAACATCCCCTCTTTTTAGCTTCTTAAAGCTGAAGAACCAATCCCTCCTAGGACAAATTTAAAATGTAACTTCCGAATTCATCATCCACTCCGTAGAGTCGGCATAACAAACTGACGACAGTACGGGACATGAATAGCCTGAAGAATCTGAATCTGAATGGTCGCTAACAGCTTTAGCAACATTCAGCTCTGAAGCTTGTACAGCTTTCCTCATTTTTCTTCCCGGCTATATCCTTTAACTTTGGGCACTCATTCTTCCAATGTTCCTCTTCTTTTGCAAAAGACACATTGATTTTACCAATACTCTTATGGCCACCCCTATTCTTAAATTTTGAGCGGTTAAACTTTTGACGATTTGGACTACGATCTCGAACTGCTAATGCATCTCCTGATGCCTTTTCGAAGGGTTCGTCATCACTCTTCCTCAACTTATAATTCACCAACGCTAAAGTCACCTCCTTATAACTAACAATAGTTCTTTCATTTATCATAATGAGAATAAACGTACCAAAATCATCCTCCGACAACGAACACAATAGTAGCATCGTCTTGTCTTCATCCTCAATCATAATATCTACATTAGACATCCGAAATTAGCTTCGTGAAGTTGTTGACATGCTCCCTAATGGAAACTCTCATCTTCATCTTGAATTGGGAAAATCTCTTCTTCAAGTAAAACCGATTCTCAATGCTCTTCGTAAGATACTTCCCATTGAGTATTTCCCACATTCTCTCGACATCTCACTCATCACATCATAAATGAGATCCGGCGTCAAGCATGACCGAATAACTCCACAAGTCCTACTATTTATTTTTTTCTAAACATTTTCCTCCATATCCTCGGGTATCTCTTGTAATTCAAGAGTCTTCTCCAAATTTTGGGCGTCCAACGTATCCATCACCTGACACCTTCACAAATCGAAATTGATTTTGCCCTCGAACTTCGGAACATTAATTTTTATATTATTATTTATTAATGCTCAGACTCTGTATCGTCTTCGTCAAAAACGACCCCGATGTGCTTGTTTCACCCATATTGTAGATCTATCTTTCCAAACAAGAATCCAATAGCGAATCCTTCGAACAAACCCTAAATCAAAACCCGGAGCTCTGATATCACTTGTTGTGCGCAGCGGAACTCGAAAATCAAACAAATCGCACACACAAGAATAAGATAGATCACAACCAATACAACCAAAACACTAATCACAGCAAGACACGAATTTATGTGGTTCGACAAGTTGCCTACATCCACGGGGCAAGGAGAGGGGTTTATACTATTAGAAATCAAGAGAATACAAATAGAATTACAAATCTCACAATAAGCTCTCTAGATCTCTCTCAAAGCCTCCCACAATGGATGCAACAAAACCCTCTTTTGGCAGCTCAAAACCCCCCTCACATAACCCTAAAATTTGTGTTTAGGGTTATATACAAACTCACAACGAAACGGGTCTGGAAAACTAAATCTGACCAAACCCGCATCGCGGTCGACCGCAAAGCACATATCGCGGTCGACCGCAAAGCACATATCGCGGTCGATCGCAAAAACTCCAGTGAGTTTCCCAACTTCTGGGTTCGGGCGCGGTCGATCGCAGAACCATGTGCGGTCGACCGCCAATAATCCAGAGTCATACTACAGTGATGTGCACATGGCGGTTGCAGTCGACCGTGGAACTGTTTGCTTGTTCCCTCGTGGATTTTGACGCCATTTCTACAGGTTGTGCTTTCAAATGTGAACTCTAATGGTACCAAAGTGAATTGGTGAATAAATCATCCAGTAGGTGAAAGTTCTACTACACGTAGTCAGGTAAATCTCAGCAAGTCAAAAAGGAAAACTAATGAACCAAGAGGAATAATAATTAAAGGATAGAGTTATTAGAAAACATTTAGTCACATAATCAATGATTCAAATAACAAACGAAGAAAAATTAATCACAGAGAAGATGCAAAAGAAAGCCCAGTACTCGAAACCAAATGCAACAAATCCAAAATGAATTATAATCATATTATAGATAAAAATAGGAACCTAGGCAAAGGCAATAATACTAATGAATGAATAAATGAGCATGTCTTTGGAGGCAGCAAATTAAAAATAAATTAACTTCCCAAGCCAGCAACTTGACCATGCAAGCTTCCTAAATGACAGAAACCCATCACAAGCAAACAGAATGATACGGAAAAAAAATACCCATGACTAAGAACAAGAAACCATCTCAAATGAAGATTTTACCGCTGCGCTTCGATTCCTCCTGTGCCCAATCCCGCCAGTTGATAACCTAGAAAAAACACCCACCATCTTTGCTCTTCAATTTCTCAAAAAACGAAGCTGAAGTTTGTTTTCAACTTCTCAAAATGGAAGGACAAGGAGGAAGGGCGGTGACCAGAGTCGAATCTATTGGGCAAATTGAAAATATTATTTGTATCAACCCAAATCAAGATATTTAGAGCTCCGCAAGGAAACTGATTGACCAGTGAGAGAGAGTAAGGATTGGTTTGACTTCTGCAAAGATATTTATTATTTTATTCGACGTTCGGTAAAGTAATTGATTCGACGGTGGAGATTCGGTGATCCGAGAACGTCGCAGGAGTTTGTGCCGCGCGAAAGAGTTGGCGGGGCCCATCGTTGACAGTTAATACCAATATGAATGTTTAGCCAATAAGAGTTTTTCTTGTCGATGGATGAGATGTGAGGAGAGATACGGGAGACTAGAGGGCGGTTGGGATGGGGATGGGATCCTCTACTAATAAGGAGGTTCCTAATATCTTTTAATGAGATCTTGATTTTTGATTTATCAATCAAAAGCTAAGATCTCATCAAGATCTCATCGAGATCTTGGCCTTTGATTGATAAATCAAAGGCTATGATCTATTTATTAGGAGATATTAGGAATACTATTTATTAGTAGAGGATCCCAATATGTTGGGATGAGCTTTTTTTAGTGAACGTAGCTTATGAATTAGCTCATTCATATTTATACAGGAGTTTTTTTAAAAAAGACATTTTTGCTAAATAATTAGCAAAACAGACTGTTTTGCTAATTATTTAGCAAAAACGACTTTTTTTTACCAACAGGTCAAAAAGAGGTCGGTTTTGAAAAATTGCCTCTTCGAAGCATACGGGACTACTAGTCCCGTATGTTTAGTTGGTAATAATTGGCGACTAATATTATGCTAAAAAATTTACGGGACTACTAGATGTAGGCAAATAAAATTATCTTTATCCCTAACAGAGAAATTCAGAAGTTCGCATGCAAGAACATTACCAAAAATAGTAAAAAACGGACAAAAGCGTTAATATCTCTCAAACCGGAGGGAATTTAACGAAACGGATGGCGACAAAGCAAACTTCAATTGGTTTAGTCGGCCCCGTCTCATCGAGATAGTCGATTTTTATACATAATTTGTCTAATTCCGACTTAGGGTTTGAAAGTTATGACATGTTCTTTGCAGCAAGTTATGTTCTTCGACACTTGAACTTCGCCTGCAAGACTAGGGTTCGCCTGAACCAAGCCAAGTCTACTTGTTCACCTGAACATTCAAGGCAAGTCCGCCTGATAGTATGACTTTGCCTGAATCAAATAGGCAAAACCAAGTTTGCCTGAATACTTGACTCTGCGGACAATGCAAAGTTTGCCTAAACATTGAGATTCGCCTGAACGAAGTTAAGCTTGCCTGAATGAAGTTAAGCTCACTTGAACGCTTAACTTACGAAACTCGCCTGCATGAGCCAAGCTCGCTTGAACACTTGAAGCTCGCCTGAATTGATTGAAGCTCGCCTGATAGCTTCGCCTACGAGGTTCACCTGCATACTCCAACCTTGCCTACAAGAGTGAAGCTCGCCTGAAGCTCGAAGCTCACCTAATAGCTTCACCTACGAGGTTTGTCTGCATACTCCAACCTCGCCTGCATGTGACAAGATGGCATGCACGTTCCAAGCTCGCATGCACGGGCCAAGCTCGCCTGCACGCTCAAAAGCTCGCCTGCACGCTCAAAGCTCGCCAAGCTCGGCTGAAGCTCGTCAAAGCTCACTTGGGTAGCCAAGCTATCCTGAAGCTCACCAAGCTTGCCTAAATGGTCAAGCTCACCTGAATAATCAAGTTCGCCTAAAAGTCAGGTTCGCCTAAATTGTTTGACCAAGTCAGCCACTAAAGCATGAATTGTGGAAGTGGTTGTGCCCAGTTTCCATGTTTTGAGGGGGTGGTTACTAGTCATTCTCCTCTATAAATAGCCATTGATGGTTACAAGAAAATGGAGGCGATATCAAGAGGTATTCGGCTCTCAAATATCCTAGCTCGAGTATTCTAACTCCGATAAAGCTTCTACCACGCGACGAAGCTTATTGGCAGTCTTGTTCGAATCCTCAGGAGAAGAGGACCGAACTTTGAGATCTCGGCATACTCGGTCTATAAGCAATCAAGCACTTGTTTGGCCTTTGAACTCATCCAACCAAACTTCTATCATGCATTGAAGTTTGTCCGCAACCTCGTTCGAATCGTCAAAGGGAAGCAAACTCGACACGAGCATCGAGGGAAGCATCCTATCGCCCCAAAGAACCCATGTTAAACAAAGAGAGATCGAATCAATTATCTCTGCTTTTGTGTAAAAGTGATTTTGATTTGTAATAAACAATTCAATTAATACAAATTTTGATATCTCATTTTACGACAAACACTAGTCTCGTAGGTTTTGTTCCCACTTACAAAACGTACGGGACTAGTAGTCCCGTACATTAAGCAAAAACTCTGTTTGCGCATGCCCAACAAATCCACGGGACTAGTAGTCTCGTGGATATAATCACAATAGTCTCTTTCGTTCTCTCTCTCTCTCTCTCAGTCGAAACCCTTGATCTCTCTCTCCCAAACCCAATCTCTCTCTCTCTCTCTCTCTCTCTCTCTCTCTCTCTCTCTCTCTCTCTCTCTCTCTCTCTCCCAACTTACCTCTTCCTCCCTCAAATTTCTCTCTCTTATCCTCTCCAAACCCATTATCTCTAAACCCTAATTAATATCTTCCCCAAAGATCACTCTGACGTTGTTAAAATACGACGTCATTTAGTCTCTCCGACGCCAATAAAATTCAAAACTTCATCAAGGTATAAATTTCTTATTTTTTCATAATTTTCTCTCTATTATTTAGTTAATGTTGTAGTTTGTAAGTAATTGTATATTTGGAATAAATATTTTAATAATGATTATCAATATGAAAAAAATCTAATTTGCATATGATGAATTTTAATTCTTCAGTTAAAATGGTGAATAGAATAGCAGTTGTTTGCTTATTCAATAGAAAACTGAGTGTTGGAATGAATAATATGTCTATATATGAAGGAGAATCTAAAAAAATATTCATGTTATCTAGAAATTACAATTTCTATAGAATAATAGAGCAAATATATAGAGTTACTAGAATTAATCATGCAGAAAATACCACTAAGGTCTTTTGTAATTATACGATAAATAAAAAAAGAACAATTATTGTAGAGATCACCAATGATCAAGAATTGAGTGATATGATATAACTTGCGAAAAAGCAAATCTCAATCGAGTTGTTCATTAAAAATATTTTAATATTTGGGGTTGTCGAAGTTTTATATGCTCACGGAGAGTTCTCCCGCATTCTTGAAAATCAAATCACATTCTCTCAAAGTGCCTTGCACTTAGAAAATGACTCAGGTGCAATGTCAATTGACGTGTTGCACAACGCGTCGAGTCATGTTTTAGTTAATTTACTAGTTGGTTCTATTATAGAAGAGGATGAGGATGCATATGCAGATGATGATTATGAAGATGTTGGAGAGGAGGAATGTCTTGATAGTATGCAGTGTGCAATTGAATGAACCAATGATGACACTCGTTGGATGGATGAATATTGTATAAACAACGATTATGTAGAGTTTGAAGAACCGTTGCCAGAAGAGTTTCAAAATGAAGAGTGGATAAATACCTCACAAGCTGAGTTTGTTGAGCCTGGTTCTAATTTCAATCGACCCTAGGACTTCACTTTTAAAAAAGATATCTTTTCGAGAATAAGGAAACTTTAGTTTTCGCTATACGTGAATGGGCAATCAAGAACCGAGTCAAATTTAAGCCGGTGAAAACCAATACAACTAGCTACCATGTAAAGTGTTACTTCAACGAGAAAGGTCAAGGAGAGTATACAAGTGCTCAAGATGAGAGAAATTCAAAGTGTCCATGGAAGCTTAATGCAGCTATTAAGAAAAAAATCTAATGGGCAATTTATGATCTTTAGTTACTGCAGACTTTATACATGTTGCAATCCGACTGTCACTGCCGATCATAAGGCAACAACTTCCTCTTATATCTTGAAGCTAATTATGCCCGAGTTAGGCGGGAACTTGATCTTACTCCATGTCAGATAATTACAAGGGTATATGATATGAGAAAAATAACTATATCCAAGTATAAAGCATATGATACATGGAGGAATGTGTTGACTAAAACCTTTGGAGATTGGGAGAAATTTTATGAATTACTTCCGCAATATCTTGAAGCAATTAAGAGGAAAAATTCAGGCATCGAATATGAAATAGTGTCTAAAGCGATCACGCCAGGAGTGGAGAGGTTCATGCGGGTATTTGAGCATTTAGACCTGCTATCAAAGGGTTCTCATTTTGTCGTCCGCTATTGAGCATCAATGGCACACATTTATATGGCAAGTACAAAGGAGTGCTCTTAGTTGCGACTGGTGTAGATGCAAATAGTGGGCTATTTCCAATAGCTTTCGCAGTTGTAGAGTTGGAGGATACATCGATTTGGAAGTGGTATTTTCAATGTATTTATAGATACATCCCTACTATTCAAAGTCCTAGAACGATTACTTTTATTTCTGACCAGATGAAAGGAATCCTACGAGCCTTACACGAGGGGTGGAGTGCACCACATCATCACCGATATTGCTTGCGGAATATAAGAGATAATTTTAAGAAAAAATACGGAGAGGTCAATTTACAAAATCTATTATGGCAAGCCAGATGTGCAACTGACACATTGATATATGAGCATTGTAGGGAGAAAATTAAATCCCTATCAGTTGAAGCACACAACTAGATTGAATAAAACTTGAAGCCGCAATACGAAGTTCAATGGGCATTATGTAGAGATGATGGAGTGTGTTATTGTATGATGACAACTAATTGCTCTGAAAGTTTCAATGGAGTACTCAAGGGTGTCTGTGCTATGCCAATTCAAGTCTTGGTTGCAAGAATGTTTTATAGATTAAACACATACTTTAATAAGAGACGTGGTGATAATGTAAATTGGACGAGTAGGTACACTTTAAAAATAAGAGTATTTTGCAAAAAAGGATTATGGCCGTAAGAACATATAGAATTGAACAATTCAATAACAATGAATGGGAGGTTAAAAATATTGTGAAGGTACTTACACCGTCCATCTCTATGACCAGGAGTGCAGT